TCTAGGATCTTCCAAAAGCTGTGTTCCTCCTTGCACTCATGTTCAGACTTTTCAGCAATTTCTCAATCTCACTTATGTAATCATCTTCCAAATGGTATGTCGAGGGTCGAATCGGATGGTAAAACCTAAAAGTTTGTTCTTGCTCTAATGCTTTCAACAATTTCTCATTTTATAATTCACTTGACTCAACTGAACTCATGAGGGGCATAATGAAGTATCATCCTAAAAAGTCACTCTCTCTGCTCATGGGGCATCTCCACCCTATCACCAAGGCTTCTGTTATGAGTGGTTCCACAGACTTGCCTTGGGTCATGTTATCCATAGGCTCAAATTTCTCCCAAACAAATTCAGGAGTCGTGTAAAAAAAAAAATATAGATTCTTTCTTAGTCATTTTTCAACAAAATTCATCCACTATATCCTGCTCTATGGGGTCTAATTTCTTAGATTAAAAATCTAGCTATCAACTGCCTTTGCTACATCATATGCACTATGATATTGATCATTCCTGGAGGCTTGGGGAAATTTAATTGATTTCAGAACATTAAAATTTACTTTCTGATCATTCACTCTCATGATAAGTTTCCTCTTCTGTACATAATTATTGCTCGTCCTGTGGCTAAAAAGAGTCTTTTAAGTATAATGTTGACGTCTATATCTTCTTTCATATCCAAAACAACAAAATCAGTTTGGAAGATTAACTTGTCAACTTTAACCAGAATGCCCTCGATTATCTCCTATGATAAGTCATAGATCGGTTAGCTTTGCATGGTTATGGTGCAGGGTTGAACATCTCCTAATAATTTTCTTTTGAAAATGCTCAGGGCATAAAGTTTATACTAGCTTCAAGGTCACACAATGCCCTCCCATTAAATCTTCATATTATGCATGGAATTGTGCAGCCATACAGGTTTTTTAATTTTTTGGACAACTTATTTTGTAGAATAACACTAGACTCTTCAATCAGGGCAACCATCTCTCAAGCTCCTAGTTTTTCGTTTCTTATTGAAGCCATCCTTCATGAACCCTACATAACTCAGCATTCGTTCTAGGGCTTTAGCATAAGAAATATTAATTGTGAGTTCTTAACAACCTCTAGAACTTCAAATATCTAGTGGTCCCTTCAATGTATTTGGAGTTTCTGAGGAAAGGTTGGTAGTGGTCTCTCTTGTCGTATCCTAGGAGATGAGGAAGGTTTTCCTAAGTCTAGCTCAACAAGTTTGCTCTCTGTCATATCTTCTTCCCACTCTATCTCAATCCTTGATCTGATGGCTTGACACCGCTTAACCTTCTGATCCCTTGGATTCACTTTGGTGTTACCAGAGAACGTCCCTTGGAGTCTATTGTTTATTGAGTTCGTCAGTTGTCAAAGTTGATTTTCAATGTTCCTTACGACTCCAATCAGACTATGTAAATATTTCCCCATTTGTAACACAATTTCGTTCAAAGATGTTCCCTTTTCCTTAGGTTGGGTATTAGAAGTGAATCCAAATGGGTAATTTTTCCTCAGGTTACTATTACCCTGATGGTTCCAATTTTAAATAAGATTGGATTGGGTGTTTTTACACCGTTGGTTTTTGACACTTGAGTTTTTATTGGTCCAATTGAAATTTAGGTGATTTTTCCAGCTTAAGGTTTAGGTATTTGAATATAAATTGTTGAACTGATTATCTACTGCATCGACAGACTCTAAGGCAGCAGTGTCGGGATCTTTTAAGTGTCCATAAATCGTCTAGTCAATTTGTATGGATTCTCGCATCGAATTTCGTGGGAAGTTGACTAGTTTTCTAGAAATGATAACCTCTTATGATGTTAGGATAGTCAGAACATCAGTCTCATGCAAACTAACTACTTTCTTCAAGGTGATCCTCTCAGATAGCTATTGGAAATTGTATGTGGTCATTTTCTCAATCAAATCATAAGCTTCATCAAATAGTTTAAATATTAGGGCCCCCAATTGTACCGTCTATGATAAATCCTATCAGTCATTTGTAAAATTTTTGGATAATTACCCATTCAGGTAGGACATGCTGGGGACATTTCCCAAGCACCTCCTTGAACCTCTCATAAGCTTCGTAGGTCGACTCTCCATCTAATTGAGTGAAGGACGTGATGTAGTTTCTAGGTTTGACAGTCTTAGATGGAGGGAAGTACTTAGGAATCTTTGGGCTAAGTCAGTCCATATGGTGATGGATCCTGGTGCTACGGAGGTGAGCCGCATGTTGGTCTTATTCCTAAGTGAGAAATGGAAAAACCTTAGTCTATTGACATCGTTGGGGACACCATTATACTTGAAAATGACGCAAAGTTTTGACTATTTGGATTATTATAGGTCTAAGCTTAGATGTGTTGGCTTTTACAATAGAGTAATGAATCTTCGTGTGAATTCTCTTTACCAATGGATTGATAAAATCCTTAAGAGGTTTTCTATGACTGTCTCAAGCATTCGTTATTTCTAAGTGTTTTTTTAAGTAGTTGAATTTTTTTGAAATTTTTTCAATATTTTTTCAAATTCAGGGTCAAATGATAAAAATTCACCTACAATGCTCATACGCGTGTAATGATAGGTGTGTGAAGGGTGACCCTATTCTAAAATATGAAATGAAAAAAGGAAAAATAGAAAAGACATACACAGGGACAACATAACAACTGAACATGAAATATACAATCACAGGATCATAAATAAAGTTGCATGCAATTTTTTTTTGCTTTTTGAATTAAAAAAAAAACATCACATAATGATAACAAAAAATGCAAATAAACAGGAAAATATGATACAATTCAAACCTAAACTCTAAGTATTTTAATTAAAATTCTCTTAAAGACAATAATTTTTTATTTATATTCCCGACAACGGCGCAAAAAAACTTGATACCTAAAATTTGCTTGAGGTAGGTGGGTTAATCACACTGGTAGCATCGATCAACTAACGTATAGATAATTAGTCCATGTATTTATTTCACGAGGATAGTTTAAATATTTCAAACAGAAAAAATTCTTGTGTACTACACTGTTGAATCTAGTTTGAAGTGATTTAAATGTAGTAATGAAAATCTATCAGTCCTATGAGAACAGTAAACAAGATAGAAACAAGAAAGGAAACAATATAAAAGTCAGGGAGCAACCTTGAGACCTTTAGAGGTGATGAGGCGCATGCTCCTGTGGCGGCAGTGTAGTGTTTTCTTGATGTTTTCCTATGGGTTCCCCTACATGATAGTTAACAATTAGGCACGCAAGCCTCCCTAGCCTATATCTGGGTCAAAATGAGAGTTGAAAATCATATTACCGTTTAAAGGGACTTAAACATGAAACATTTCCTATCTAGGTTATAATTTTTTACTAGCAATATGCCTATTCTATTAGGTTATTGTATATTAACATATTTATTCTTCTAGACGACACTTAGAAGTTCTAGGTCACAAGAAATTTTAGCATCCTATTTGATTAGGCTAGGAGTAAACGACAATCCAAATGTTAACACATCAACATTCATAATTCAAAAACAATGAAAACGTATACAACAAAACACTCATGGTAAAACATTAAGAAAAAATATCCTTACACACATGGGCATGAAAACAAATTTAGTTGAGACATGAGGGAGAAAAACATAGCGAACTTTATTGAAAGCATTTGAAGATATAAGTGCAAAAAGGTTCAAAATTACAACCAAATCAAGTGCCTTCAACAATGCATTAACCCTCGCCTTACAACTATAAACATTTCACAATCTCGTTCACACACATCACTCAACTTCTCTCTCATACTACTCTAAAAACTCAAACGGAAAAATCACCCTGGAAGTTCCCTCCCCAAAGGAACAAGAAGAGAACCCCTAGAGTTTGATGTAGAATCCTAATTCCTGCTAGAGAAACCTTTCCAAGTCTGCACACCTCTTTGGCGTCTTCTAGCATCTCCTTTTACCAATCCGTGATGACAAATCATGCCAAAATAAACCTAGGCTGTTGGCAATGTAATCACGTCCGTGGTCGTCATATTTATGCCAAGACCTAGTATAGTTATGCCACCTCAACAGAGGTCCCGACGTAATTACGCCCAAGGTCGACATAATTATGTTGATTCTTTAAGTTGCACGCTTTGTGTTTTGGCTCTGCAATGCGTTGGGAACCCTGTAACCTGCAAAATGCCACAAAAACCCTTTCACAAGCATAAAATTATGATAAATAGGGAATAAAACATGATATTTAAGATAGAAAAAACACGTAAATTTACATCGCATTAGATATGACAAAGACTGCTTGGTAAATCCAAATTTTCATATTGTTTGGTGTTTTATGCAACATTCATGATGAATTTCTTGTTATAAATGTAAAACCTCAAGTGTCACTCAACAAAAATGGAGGGCGATTAAAGAATCATAAAATTGAGTTACATAATTGGAATAAGGCTAATGCTAATTTTTATTATATTGTTAGATATTTGAAAGCAAACTTTATTGGCCATGCTAGGAAGGTTTCTTGGTCTAAATCCACCTTGTTTCTTTTTTGTGCTTATTGAACGTCTTGGATGTAATTACTAATATAGATTCAACAATCTAAACAACACTAAAAAGTAATGAATGGCGAATGAGGGTTAATAAAATCCTAATTAGTTGGGATAAAACTACTGATTATGATTAGTGTTATATGGTTTCATATTTCTCGTCTTACATAATCCTTTGTTCTTACATTTTTCGTGAATGTGTTGAATGGCACTGCAATTACCATGCTTTGTTTTTTATCAAAGGCAGATCTATAGTATCGTACTGTGGATTTGAGTTTCAGTAGAACTCCATTGATTTTCTTGACACGTTAAATTGTAACAACTTGAAAAACAGCAGGGTTCTTAGAAATTAGCAACTTATGACCCTAATTGTATGTTTATATGTGACATCTCTTTTCAATTGAACTTCTTAAAAAATCATTTGTCTTTTCTGGCTGCATATGGCTGTTTATTTGTTTATTGAAAACCATTTCAAGTGAACTTTTTTTGAGTTTTGCAGGATCATCGCCAATTTAAGCAGAGGTATTATGAGTTTCTAGATTACTATGAAGTCTCAAATGGACCCATATTTTTGAAAATTTGCGGCGAATCTACTTGTCCTGGAATTGTAAATGATTATACATCTGTAAGTGTTTTACCATGATTCTGAGTAATGCTTTGTATCATATTCTACTAATATGCTTGAAAGATGGTGCATTTCTTTTTTCCTTTAAATTTGCTACTGTAGTCTAGCTTTCTGGGCTATTAATGATAATAAGTGAAATATAGGGATTCATTAAACCAACCCCGACTTGTTGGAATATGGTTTTGTTTGATTTGCTATTTGTTAAACTATTAAATTAAGGTTTTGGGTTAGAAACATATGTACGGGGCTTAAATTTTTGCTTTGATAATAGGAGTAGTAATTGTGGACTTTTATGAAACAAAGCCATTTTATTGGTATGGCAAGTGAAATGTGCCAAAATAGGTTTTTGCAAGTAATGTTTTCTTTTCATGGCATATGACAATAATAATGGTTGACTTTAGCTTTTATTTTTTTTCAATGCTAGTATAAATCACTAAACTTGAGTGCTAGACATCAAGTAAGGAAGGTTTTTTGAGAATGCTACTGAGGTGAATTTTGTTAAAGAACATGAGGCTTAAGGTTTATTTTCATATTGGGTAATTGAAAATTATAATTGTGTAAAAATACTAAGTGGATGACCCACACCCATAACCTTTAAGTTTTTGGTTTAAAAGGAGTTTGACCAATGGGGTATCCAGCCCAACTGAGCTACCCCATTTGGTTTAATCTCGAGCAAGTGATATTGGAACCAATGATTTGACTTAGTTTTATTGATTCATGTGGTTTGTTGGCTTCAACCATGGCAGAACAATGTTCGAGTGTTGGCGATTCCCTTGATGCCTCTATGATTGAGCAGGATCTTGGTACATTATACTTGATATTGAAATACCATTTTAGTGGAAGTTATGGTCAATATTGAGAGCTCTCTGCTATGATGGAGCTTGAGGGAATTTTAGTCTTTATTAACCTAAGGGCTATTTAGTCATTTGTCATTTATTATTATTTAGTGTAAATAGGGCTAATCTGCTTAGGGTTACGGTTATGCAAGTGTTGGTTGTCTTGAGTCTTAGAGTTAGGGTTTAGGAGAGATCTTTTACCTCGCAAATTTTAGAATTTGAGAGAGATGACCCATCTCTCAAATTATAAATGCTTATCTTTTATGTGTTTGAAATATTTTATTTTCCCTAATTTGTACAAAAAAATTCTATCAAATGGTATTAGAGCAACGATTCCGGGAAGAAGCGTGAGCGATGCAGTCACTACTCGCCATAGCTGGTAAAATGAAGATGGGTTCATGATCTAATTGCACGATACAACACAATAAGAGATAGCTGAAAAGCAAGGTGGTATCACGTTTAGAGCATGGAGTTCGATACAACACAGAAAGAACTAGACGGGACGCACATGATGGGACCAAGATATAGTGAGCTAGTTAGGACATAAACAATAGGATCACAATAATTCAAGTGAGATAAAGTTGCAATTTGAGCTATCTGGTCGCAGCGTACAACCCTTCATGACCAAACCTTGCAGCATGACCGAACCTTTGCGTTACACCCAAGTGATCGAAACACGAAATAATGACAATTAAGAAAGTAGATGCTCTGGAGAAAAAAAATAGAGAAAGAAGTGAGACAAATAATATCAGAAATGGAGGAACGTATCTCGACCATGGAAGGAAGATTCACGGCCCTAGAAGAAATGATGAAGAAGATCATAAAGTGTCAAATAAAATCACCTCTACATGCCTTGGGACCAAGAGACGGGCGTCGGGAACAAATGCGGGCTTTGAAAATTATGATCGTTCCTCAGACTCTATTATTTTTGTTTTGTTTGTTGTTGAGAGAGCTTTAGAGAGGCAAATTTGCAGAAAATACATGTAATAGTAAATAAGACACTAACCAGAGATTTCACCCTGATTTTGTGAGGGCTTTTTGATCTGAGGCTTGAGGTTTCCCATAGGTGAAAACCTTTATATTTAATTACCACTCACGATAACTAGAGAACACTTTCAATTAAGGCTAGTCATTTAACATTGAATAATTAACTTATAATAGCAGCTGTAATATTTTTTAAGTTTTAAAATATGTCGTTTGAAGCTTAAAGTAGATGGTGGGAAAAACATTGACAAAACGTGATTAAACTCCCATGATTTTGTTGTCTCGGATCATCTTGGTTACCGATCTACTTAGTCAGAGGAGATAGTTGACCCAAACTTACTCATGTTACGTTCTTATTAACATGTAATTTTTTTTACTATGAATATAAGAATACATTTGATATGATATTCACTTTTTGTGAACTGAAATCAATTAGAAGTTTGACACCCTCTACAAACTATATCGGAGGGTAGATGTGTTTTTGCTTTTAGAAGTGCTTGATTTTACTTGCATATTGGTTTGAAATTTATACTTAATGTGGTTTGAAATTAACCTCTCGGGTTGAGATTTTCAGTCAACATGACCATTATAAGAGATTTAAACATTTAAAACTTTTTTATTTGAAAGGCATTTGAATTTGATAGTTTATACTTTTTAGGATATATTTCCTCTCGACTTCTGTTCTTATAAGAAGAATCAAACTAGATGATTTGGACTTGTAAGCTCTTATCTTTATGATTTGGATGTTTATTAATAAATTTACTAAACTCATCAAATCTGGTCCTTATTAGGACAGGCATTTGCGATTCCCAGGATGAGTATTTGAAAACTCTTAATTTTTAAAATTTTCCAAACAAGCCCGTAGTTTTCCCTGAATAGTACTTAATGCATAAGTCCGGGTACTCGCACTTCTTCCAATGGATTTTTTTTAAACGTCACACCTCCATGCCCATTTTTATACCTTCTCAAGCTTCCATAGTGTTGACGACAACTATCTACAATGGCAGAGATCTACGGTGATGACTATGACTAACGAAATAAATAAATATAATAGAGATTTTTTTAAATTTTTTTACACAATATACATTGTAAGACATAAATTAAAATGAGGAAGGAAGAGGTTGAGCTCGGTTCGGGTTAGGGAAAAGGGTTAATGGTTCGAGCTTGGGTTCAAATAAGGAGGGGTAATGACATGGGATCGGAAGCCTCTGTTTTAATTTTTGTGAAGAGCATCGAAGGCGAAGTCCTCGGGCATCAGGCTGGGAGTCTGCGCAATTGCAAGGAGAAGCAGGCAGGCAAAGTCGTGTGGAACATTAGTTAGGGAGACATAAGCGGGAAGAGAAGATCGTGAATTGAATTGAAGGCTTTGCATGCAACAAAGTGTGGGTGGTGCGTGGAAGGAGGCTCGAATGGCTTCGGTTAGGGAAACGGAAGCAGACCGGTTTAGAGTAGCGGAGGTTTTTGAGTAGAGAAGTTTGGAGGACTGTGGTGAGTGAAGGTGTTTGCGTTTGAAATTGTGGAAGGGCGGGTGACTTTAATAGGTTAAGGCGAAAGGGGAGCGGCTTTCCTTCAGTGAAAGGGCGAGGAGTCTTAGAAGATCTTTGTATGCCATGATCGTTTCATTGCTATTGAACTGAAGAAGTTTTAATAAGGGAGTGAAGATGAAAGTGAAGATTTCGAGTGTGAGGTAGGAAGACGAGGCTATGGCATTGTAAGCCTTCGGTTTTGATGAGAGTTTCAAACAACAGAGGAAGAAATTGAAGTATGAAGTGGGAAGGCCTTTGACGGAGAATGAGATGGCTGTGTAATTGTGTGCGGGAGAGTCTTGGAGTGGGTTTGTAACTGAGATCTAGTGGGAACCATTATTGAACTCCACATAGTCGTCTTTGTAGGGAGCATGTAAAGTTTTAAGTTAATTGACAATTAATTAAAAAAAAAACCTTTTTTTTCTTTTCATGGTCAACAACAGGCAGATGTAGCAGCAACCAGAAGGATTCACGCGACATTAGGGCAAGTGTCGCTGCTTTAGGCTGACTAGGAGCTGCAGTATTGAACAAATGAATCATGAACGGATTCAAGCAACAACATCTAAAGGGAATTGCATAACATCTTAAGCTTTGGAATAAGCAACGAAAGACAGAATGAGACAACTTGCCATTCAGGGCTAGAGAAGATAGTTTCGAAGAATTTTGGCTTGAGACAGAGAACCATTGTTGGCGGACGGCTGCATCCAATTGCGCTAGCGCCTTTTGTGGCGGCAGCCGTCCAGGCGGAAAGTGATTCAATAGTAATAATGAAAATGAGAAGTGGAAAAAGTGGGAAAGTTTGTAAATGATTGATTTGGACACTGCAAAGTATTCAGGATGTATACAAGATGATGGTGCTTTGCGGTGACCCCAATTTGTGTAAGTTAGTGGTATTGAAGACTATGATTTGAGCGGTTCGACTATGATTTGAGCGGTTCAGGAAACAGGGCTAAGATTTTTGGTTGGGTAATTGAATTGCATACATGAAGAGACACATGATATGTCGTTGACAGATGTTCTAGGGATCGATAAGCTGCTGCATGAGCGATAGTATTCTCTAGAATTACTTGAGGTCAGGATACCATCATATTTGGATGCGGCCGAAGGATGTGAACAAGATGACATTTTGAGACGGTGAGGTTTATTACGTGTTTCTGATTAAATAAAAAGGATTGTGAGATGATAACGCCATGTGGGAGCCATACGACCTGATTCAACAATTGTTTTTCCGCATTGAGGATAAAGTATTTTTTTGGTAGAGGAGTAATGTTATGATGACGCCTAAGGGCAATTTAGTCGTTTATCATTTATGTAAAGTTTAATTTCAGTTACTCGGGAGAAGAAACGATGAGATGAAGAAGAAATGAGGAAACTGAAGGAAAAGAAAAGAGGAATCGAATAGGCGGAAAACCAAAGAGGATGACACCATGCGGGAGCCATACAACCTGATTCAACAGCAGTTTTCTACAATGAGGATAAAGTGTCTTTTTGGGAGAAGAGTAATGTTATGACAACGCCTAAGGGCAATTTAATCGTTTATCATTTTTATAAAGTTCAATTTCAGTTACTCGGGAGAAGAAACAATGAGATGAAGGAGAAGAAATGAGGGAACTGAAGGAAAAGCGAGGAGGAATCGAACATTCAGAAAACCAAA